GGGGGGGGCTGGGCTGTGCCCGGCAGTACCAGGGCACTACCGACGTGTTTTGCTCAAAGAACTACATAGCAGAAGACGTCGTTCGACGCTTATAGAACTTTTCCCACACTGACGTGCGGAGCACGGCACCCTCGTGCACCCTGACAAACATTTGCGAAAAGCTGCCGTTTGTGTGCTGACTCCGATGCGCCTTCATCAAGCTGTTGTTGCCCACATTCCTAGTAACAACCAGTCCTAAAAGACGCCGGGGCAAGAGGTCGTCATCGAGTCGTTCAACCTCTTTCTGCGAAGTCACACACTTCACCGTTATTGAGAGCGGCCCCCCGCATCGCAGGCTCCCGGTCCAGGAGTACTCGGAACAGGAATTCCCGCCATGGGTGCCCCAATGACTGCTGCCGCTAGCAGCAGCTGATAAACAGTCGAGAAAACCAAGCCAAGTTCGAGGAACTGAGCTTGTTTCCGCTGGTTCGCCTGGTCAGACAAGTTTTGATTCAGCAGCAAAGCTACCTACGACGAAGTCCGAACATGAATGAACATTACATATTTTCTTTGGTTGCCTCTCATGTCTGTCCACGTAATTCGTTACTTGAGAGGTCTACAGTCGCGAAAACAGGAGAACAAAAAACCTATAAAGAACGGTCATCTGGCCGAAATCTCCACACAAGTTAGTTCTCATACCAACATGTTTGCTGCAATTTTACTGACTGCCGCATTGTTTAGCCTCCCGCTGCAGATTAGACCTTTGGAGATGCATAATCTGATGATGTTCGGTTGCAGATGAGTGTCGGTGTGACAGCTCCGCCCGCCAGGCGCGAGGGGTGGCGTGTCCCGATGCTCGTGACGCACCGCGGTGCGTTTAGTTCGATGCGTCTTCTCGTCATAACGCGTCGCATCGGTTTTGAAGGTCGCGCGCGCCCCATGGAGCGTCGTGAGCCCGCGAGGCCTGTCAAATTAATGCTTGGCCGCCCGTGGGCCGTTTCGATTGTTGGTTAAACATTTAACTCGGGCCTAAGAAATCTCTTGAGATTATAACATCTCGATTCGACTTTCTTAAAATTTCTGTCCGTATTATACACATTCCTTCAGCTGTAAGGTGTGGACAAAAATATTTTTTCGCCGGAACTTACAAATCATGTTTGTACCAGGTGGCTGATTACATACTTCTGTAGCAGTCATATTGTACCGCACGCACAAGTGCGGGCGGGCTTGCCCATCGCCCCTGTCCACGGCGCCTTACAAGCCGAGCGATGAATCATGGGAATCGCAAAACAGGAGTTACGACAAGATTTTCACTGAAAACTGTGTAATGACCTATGTCGATCACTACATCACAGTTTTTCTGGAATATTTTCTGAGTGAGCTGTCAGATTTAGTTTTCGCACCGTCGAATTTCCCGTAAAATTTCCAATCAAACAGGTCTACACGTGACAGGGTTCTGAACAAAGGTTTTCTAAGAACATGCAAGTTAAACTTGACAAAGGGGTGACCGGGAGGTGACAATCGAGGGATCATAATCAATGAGGACGCATTGAAATAGGGGGTTACGACCAAGCCCAATTAGTTCATTCTGCTGAAGCTCCTGATAAGAAACTCGTCTTCTGTCGTTGTTATACTGTACAATACCACCATGCATTCGTGCTCCTGGGTTGGCTACAGGTCAAACGGATAGTCCAAGGAGTAGTCCGTTTTTTTTTTACGTAATCATTCGGCAAATTACGGCAGCTCAGCCCCTGCGAGACTCGGTGTAGGCCACCCCGCAGTACACGCATGCGCTGCAGGCGAGATGTTGCCTACCTATCAGGCGCTTACGAGGTATCACAGCCAGTGTCTCATATGGCTTGGCTAGTTTCCGATGAAGTTTGTAAGTCGATGTCGAGTAGACACTGACAATTGGAAAACTGAACCTCACTTCACCCGCACTGTTTTCAGAACAGAGGGAAATGACTTGGGTAATCCATTAGGCACGGTCTTTAATTGTCAATCCGAGGTAATCCAGGGTGATTCGGGGGTAAACCGAGAGTAATCTGAGGTTAATCTCGGGCGTAACACGGTTTTAATCCGGAGTGATCAAGGGTAACCCGTCGTACATGGAATCTCAGACTCGTGTTAACCGCGAATAAGTCAAAAGGGGTTGTTATTGAATGCGATGTATTTGGAACCGGAAGTTCCCAATGTAGTTTATCCGTGTCTTATTTCACCTTTCAACTGCAAGACTATGTTATGATTTACTTAGTCTACTCTGTCACAGCTCGCAACAAACACAGCACCACTCTGTTCTGTACCCCTTGTATCGCTACCGCAGATTTAGTGCCAACGATACACAAAGACACAAGACCCACACACAAGCCCGCACACAGTTGTTGGAGACTGCTGCCAAGGGTGCATGATGGTGTCCCCCTCCCGCATCGCACTCCTCACGCCCGCGCGCGCGCTCACACACACACGTGCACACCTGCCAATGTTATAAAAGCTCGGGCGCGCGCGCGGCGACGCTTCAGTGACTCCGCGTCTCTCTCGCGAGCTGCCCCGCGCCCCCCGCGCCGAGCACCGCGTGCTGATTGGAGCAGACGCTCTAGCAGCACGACGTGGTCGTCTCCTTGGAGTCCCCGTGCGGGAGCCCGACAATCGACTCGTGCACGGCAGGGCAGGCCGGCAGGCGCAGCACAACCGCCACCACCGCAGCAGCAGCAGCCGCAGCAGCAGCAGCCGCAGCAGCAGCAGCCGCAGCAGCAGCCGTAGCAGCGTAGCGGGGCTCAGCGGGCAGCTCGCGGCGCCCAGCCATCCGTCCGGCCAGGCCAGCCGCCGCCGCCGCCGGCCGCAAAGCGCTCAGCAGGCAGTGCCAGTCCAGCCGCAGCAGCCCGCGACGTCGGGAGCGTGCAGCACCAGGGCGCACTCCTCCGCGTGGTGCCCGCCGCCAGTGCCCGCCGCCAGTGCCAGTGCAGCCGCAGTGCAGCCGCAGTGCAGGCCGGCGCACAGAGGCGACTCTTCGCGCGCGCCGCCCCCCGCAGGCCCTCGCGCAGGTGGACCCCCCGCGCCGACCCGAGCCGAGCCGCGGCGCCTTATCTTATCTCCGCGAGCTTCGGGCGCAGCTCATCGACGGGGACCTCCTCCCCCCCGGGAGTGCACCCAGTGCCCGCACCAGTGCCCGTCGTCCGCGCCGCGCCGGCAGGCGTCCCGTCCCCGCAGTGACAGTGACCGGCACCCCCAGCACCACCATGACCATGGCCCTGTACGGGCTGCTGCTCGTCAGCGCGGCCACCGTCGGCACGGCCCTCAGCGCCGGGACCTCGTCGTACGCGGACTCGGTGGCCACCGACACCACAGCGATGGTGAGTCTCTGCCGCTGGCGAGTGATTGTGTGTGTGTGTGTGTGTGTGTGTGTGTGCGCGCGCGTGCGCGTGGGTGTGTTGGTGTGGGGGAGGGGGCGTGGCTGATGTAGGGTTCACCGCGCCTAGCCCGCCCTTCTAGCCACCCAGCCACCCTGTGTGCCGCGAAGGCTGTCACCGGCCTAGTCTCGGAGTCGTATGGAGGCTGTGCTCTCACACCACCGGGTTGGAGCAAGGAGGGCGAGGGCACCAGACCGGAGTGGTGGCGAGGGCGAAAGCATCCCAGATCTGCTCCGATCAGTATTTTTCTCGTACTCTGTCAAGGCATCCCGGCGGTCCTTGAATGAATAATCTGCCGGATATCACTTTACTTTGTTATCTCTCGGAAAACCCGTTCCGCCGAGCAACCTGCCCCGCCTCGCCACACCCACCGCGTCGCGCCCAAGAGCCTTTGTAGTCCCCTCTTCCTTCTTTTCCCTCCAAACTGCGCGCCGGGGCCCGGCCCGTGACCACCCCCGGGAACCCCTCCGGACACGTTTTCCCAGACCGGTTGAGTAGAATGTCATTGACACATTGCGTGGTCGCAACCCTGCCCCTGCCATGCTGTGGCCGGCTTATTATTTTCTCGCCCGGATTGGCATTGTGCTGTACGATTACGACTCGGGATCAACTTCGAGTACCTTCGAGCCTACGTGACTTCCTTTCCCGTACAGTCCGCACGTCTAGCCAACCCTTCATGAAATCTGCCGTGTTGTCAACAAAAGCGTCGTCACACTCACACGGATTGTTTTTTTTTTGCGTTGCACTGTATGGGGCATCTTCGCGCCGATCCTCGCAAGCAGGCGCCGCCGCCGTCCCACACCCATTCGTTCCATCCAAGAAGACGAGGGTCCTAGGAGGCTACGCGCGCTCAGCGGCGCGGCCGCCAGCGGTGCCCCCCGGCGACGGCCCCCGGCGGGATGAGTTGGGCCCTGACCTGCCCAGGCATGAAGGGCGCCCGCCCGCCCGCCAGGCCCGCCCGTCCCGGCCGTGGCCGCCGTGGCACCGTGACCAGCCCGCCCGGCCCAGCCCCGCCCGCTCCAGACCAATCCCGTTTTGGGGGTTGATTATGTCCATTATGCACAGTTTGCGCACTGCTGCCCGGCCAGCCCGGCCATGGCGGGGGTCGGGGTCGGATTCGGATGTGGTTGTCAGGTGCGATCGGCCCTGCGCCCTGCGGTGGCGGCCTGCTGGCGCGCTCGGTAGCCGTTCAGTTAGGTTCGGTGGCGCCCGCGGCCCGGCGCACCGCCGCGCGCCGCCGCGACACGCCGGGTACTTTTCTGCATCATTAAACGCGGCCCGGCGTGGACGTCGTGGAGGTGGACCCGCGGGCAGGCAGCCCTTAGGGAGACTTGGTGTTGTGAAAGAGAGCGAAGGTTGGGTTGCGCGCCCTCGCCCTGGTCCATGCTCCAGTGCCCCGTGGGGCGGGCGGCCTGGTGGCCCCGCCGCCGCCGTACTCGCCACTCGCCCAGCCCTCGATTTGAAGTCGACTGAGCCAAGCGCGCCGCCAGCCAGGCCGTTGCGCTTTAAGGGCGTTTAGGTCATCGCTCAGACCCAAAGGACCGTAGTAGTAGTTGGGAGGGAGAGGGGGAGTGGGTGCTGCTGCTGCTACTGCTACTGCTGTTAAAGGAAGCAGGACTGGGCGGTTGCGCTGGGGGGCGCTGAAAGAGCAAGTGTTTGTCACCTGCAAATCGAGAGCAGAAAGCACCCCTCCCGGCGCCGAACTCATTCGGCGGACAGCAAAATAAAAAAAAAAGTAATTGAAAACATTCTGCCTCTTCAGCTCGCTCAGCGAGATGAGTTTCTCACCGACCCGCCCCCGCTCTCACAGCTCGTGCAATATGAGTTATCCGCGATGATTTCCCCACACCATCACAAAAGCCACCAAGCCCGGGCCGCGTCAGTATAATATGAAGTCCGAAAAACGTGAAAACAACAATAAGTAAAAACTCGCTCTGGGTGTTTTCATCTCTGTCTCTGTCACCTACACTCTCTTTGTCTCGTGTCTGTCATTCTCTCTCTCTTCTGTCGCTCCCCCGGTCTGTCTGTCTATCTGTCTGTCTGTCTGTCTGTCTGTCTGTCTGTCTGTCTGTCTGTCCGTCCGTCCGTCCGTCCGTCTGTCTGTCTGTCTGTCTGTACCCCCCCTCCCCCCCTCTCTCTCGTATTCGCTAGCTGCGGGACGCGGACTGTGACGCATCAGTGGCAATCGAAAACGAGCCACCGTCCGCTCCTCCCCCTCCTTTCCCTCGCCGTGCTCCGCTGGGCGCCACCTCCATCGTCAGTGTGGTGTGATGGGTGTGCTATAGTGCAGTATGTCCGGGCTTGACTGGCACAGCCTACATTGGACGAGCACAGCCTGCCCTTCTGGTCACATAATGGGAAATGCTCAGATGGGTAGCCACAGTCGGTATTGTGAACACACCACAGCCGGCGGCATCCTTGGGTCGTCACAGCTCAAGTACGCTTCGTCCGAAAAATCGGTCCGATCCTAGAGCTTAAGACGCATGTCCAAGATTAGACTAGTTGGAATCTTCCCTGCTTAACTGTTCAACTCTGTTCACCCCCGAGGCGTGTAACGAAGTTGTCAAACGCTGGTAATTGCGCGTCGGTCGAGTTGAACACTCGAGATGTCTGTGTGACCACATCGCGCGGTGGAGTTCGTTTGGCACGCTCCAGTAAGCTCCCACCAGGGCTGCATTCAGACGGCCTCTTGTCCTGCTCTTTCTTTCGCCTTTGCGGAGTCCCCGTGTACAGTGAGTGAGCCGCGCCTGGTGTACAAATCGCTTTGCCGGCGTTACTGCTTGCGCTAATCCGGTGGATATTGCGGAGTGTCGTGGCGTAGCGTGGCCGTCACATAACCGGGCGGCCCGGGCAGGCGTGGGAGGGGAGGAGTGGGGGTCCCCGCCGGAGGGCACCCTATCAGAGCTCCACGGCTGTCCTCCGCGACTGCTGTGCACTCTGCATGGACCCGTCTACGAACACCTGTTGCGCGGGTTCGAAGAGCGTGATGGGGCGGCACTGTTGTGCACCGGGGATCGCGGGCGGGGGAGCGGCCCGGCCCGGGCTGGTGCACGCCGCCCTGGCCCCGCCCGCCACTCGGCGTCTCTTCTCGTCCCGCTCGCGGAGCGCGGAGCCGCGAGGAGGTGAGGAGGAGTGAGAGAGTGAGTCACTCGCCCGCTCCCCGCCCCACACCCCTCCGACCGCGAGACCAAGGAATGTGACGAACACACATAATGTCGGAGGACTACTGGCTGCCGCCAGAGCTTCCATCAGCGCAGCGAAGACGAGCGCACGATGATGACGAGCGAAATAACTTCGCGGAAAAAGGCCAATATTGGCGAGATACAGCCGCGAAAACGTTTCCATCAGCAGGAAACGGGAGTGGTGAATTATTTATGAGGAAGAGGCAGAGTACAAAGTAAACATGATTTGCGGTGGTGGCGAAAAGTGAGGCTTTACTCGTCACCATCCCCGTGTCTATTTGCCTTCTGGCGACCGAATACTTGTAGTCGGAGAGCTTTCGGTCTTCCGCTCGCAGCCACGCCCGGGAAGAAGTGTACAGTCTGACAGTACTTGCTGCCTGGAGGAAGGCGGGTGTGCGGGGCGAGGCGTCGGCTTCTCCGCTGACCGCTCGCGTGCTGCGGGGCGGGGCGGGGCGGGGCGTGCCTGGTACTCTACTCGCGGGCGGACGGACGGAAGGCGGTCTGCACAGACGCTGGTACAGACGTCCGCACGAGCTGGACGGACGGGAGGCGGG